AATCACATTTGTAAAGTTGAATATTCTTTTCTTCTGTACTTTTTGAAAAAACCGGTAAAAATTTAATTCACAGTGATAAGAATTTATTGAACTTTATCTCATTACCGACACTCCAGTATACAAAAGTCAAAATGAATTGGCTAAAGTTATACATTAACACCCTTGGACGACGGCTCAGTGGTCTAAAGGTTAGGGGTTCGCGCGCGTGACTGATAGGTTCTTGGTTGGAATCTCGCGGGGGGCGAGATCGTGGGTGCGCATTGCTGAAAAGTCCCATCGTAGGATGAAACGGCCATCCAGCGATTCCAGGTTTTCTATGGTGTTCTAGCTTCAATTGACCCATGAATTCAATCATTTAATTCAGAATGACTAATAGAACTCTCAAAATTCACGGTAATGTAAACTACTGAAGTGAAAACTCAGTAGTTTTCCGTAGTCTACCAAGAAATCTGAATATGCTAGGTTAGATCTCTATTTTAGGATTGATAAACATTAAATATAAGCATTATTTCTTCCAGTTCTAATACATATTTATTTTCTGGTATTATAATTCTTAAAGTAATGAATTATTATGTAATATTTCAACGCTTTATTTACATTGATACAACCATAGAATTAGTCTCAATGATAGATTTTGTCAAGTGGTATTTATAAGCTTATTTTCACACTTATCCTAAAAACCAAAACAGATCTGATATGGTTCGATTTAAAATTTAATCATAAATCCCCATAAATTGTTGTTGTATCTTACCAACACAAGTTGAACAAGATGGAACGTTTTTTTGTAGATCCATTATAAAATTCACCCATACCCAATTCTGATATGAGTTTGAATTAATTATCTTAGATCTTGATAATAATAAGTTATTATTGATACTTAAGAGAACATTTAATAAGATTATATGAAACCAGTCATAAATTTATTCTCATTCATAATTAATACAAACGGTTCCAGTAAAGTAAATAATTTATTCAACAAGGTCTGTTGTGAAATATCAACTTACTGAAGACAGTGGTGTACGGTGGCGCAATTTCGTGGATTATTTGAAGTTAGACATTAACGCCACTGAATGACGGCTCAGTGGTCTAAAGGTTAAGCGCTTGCGCGGTCTACATGTTAATCATTCACGCGTGAGATCAATAGATCCTGGGTTCGAATCTCGTGGGGGCGGGATCGTGAATCTGCATTGCTGAGGAGTCCCATACTAGGACGAAACGGCTGTCCAGTGCTTCCAGATTTTTCATGATGGTCTAACTTCAATTGACTCATGATTTCAACTAATGAAATTACTAAAATCTCCACAAAACCCCTTCTGATAATAATTTATTTATCAGAAGAAAGAAAAGAAACATACACCATACTCTTAAATATAGTCCATCAATGAATTTATTGGACAATCTTGATTGTATGTATATTTAACACTTGTATATCAAATGTTTAATTAATTAAATACACTTAGTAATCATGGTTAATAAATGGGTGTTATTTACGCCTAATTATTATTGATTTTATATAGATTCTCTGAACATTCAAAAAAAAATCCAGTTCTATGTGATGACTAAAACATTCCCTTCCTGAATTTTTATTAGTTGATCGAAAATTTCCATTAACCTACATATTAAATTGTTTATAAACATTCTATTTAGTCTGGTTGTTATTCACTATGATTAGTAGTATAACTTTTTATCCGATTGGTCATGAGTCAGCTGAAAACTATTGGCCAGTTTAATCTGAAGGTCATTTGAAAATTAAACAATAGTTTGCTAAGATAATACAACGTCCTAATTTTTGTACTATGCTGTGTAATATATTCCTTCAAGGTGGATATATGTAAGTCAGTACTGTTTTACTTAAATTTATATTTCCTATGAAATATTTGAAACTATTTGTTACGTAACTATAGCAACCTCTAAACGTAAAACATATAGCGGTAGTTATTCATATATGTCTTTCTAATAAATTTTATGTAATTTTCCTTCTTATCCTAATTCATAAATGACAATACTCTGTCCAGATAATTTGAACGGTTATTAAATTCAGCAAAATTTTATATAAATTTTATATAAACATTTGGTTATCTAATGTTCATTCTGTTAAATATCTGCCCAGATAAGATCGGGCGGCGAGACTCCAATTTATGGACGAGCCGATCAGATGCGTTTTAGAGATTTCAAGGTTACGGCGCCAACTTGAGTGCTTAATGCTAACGTACGATCGGTTCACAGGGAATTTTGTACAAAACGTGGTAATTGAATGGCTACAACAAATAAAACGGCGGGACTATAATTTGTGGACGAATCAATCTTTTTTTAAGATAATAGATCTCAGATTTTAACGGGAAAGCCTTTCATCCATTTGGCTAAATAAATTTCTGGCATTATAGCTGATATCAGTTCATGATGAAAACCCCATACATAATTCCTAACTAAGGCAAATTACGACAATTATTGCGAACTGTATAATAAAAGCACCAGTAACACTGGCTGCAGCCAGGTACTACAATATATACGGATGTTTGGAGAGCATAGACACTCCTTCATAGGCTTGGTTATGTGCATCGTGTCGTCATCCACAAGTAGCATTTTGTGCACTCAACAACCGGAGTGCATAAACAATACTGAAGCTATGTGGTCGAGGCTGAAAGAGTTTTTAAGACTTTATCATGGCTCCAGAGGCCGACTTTTCTGTAGCCGTATGGATGATTTCCTCTACTGCATGCATTACGATTTTAGAACCTCTGAACCTCTTTCTAACCTTGACAATTTTTTGAACCATGTATAAGAAGTGTATCCACTTTATTTCCTTGGTTCTGTATAACATATTTTTACTCTATATTGGCTGTTTGCTGATTGGCTACTATTTCTCAAGGTTACTTAAGATCCTTTCAAAGGTCGTCCATAAATTAGTCTCGCCGATCGAGCATTTTAATTCAACTACAATATCACTCTTTTTCAGTGAATAGTGTAGAGGATAGGATTTGCAATTGCTGACTATAAATGAAATCAGATTTCTTATATAATGTTGGAAATTTAAATTATTTAAAACATTCCTTTTCGAAAGGAAGTTTGCCCCATCTGGAGTGGTCTCATTGTAACATCTTTGGCCGTGACAGTGGATGAGTTTAGTTTAGATAACAAGAAGTGAAATTATCTATTCCCTATTTTACCTCATCAACAAGTACCATGTACTTTAAAAATGTAGCATATCACTCCTTGTTAAATCCCTCAAACCACTTAAAAGTAATTGAAAGTAAAGTTAACCCCCTTTTCCATCTTTTTCAATTTTTGAATTAAGTGTAATTAATAGTATAAAGAAAATTATCCATTCATCAGAAAATTTCAGTGCAGGACATAGAATTATACACATAACGAAAAACGCATTATTTGGAAGGGCATGTATTATCCGATTGTTAATGTTAAAGATTGCAACTGATTACTCTCTATTGATATGTGTGCATACTGAGTGAACTGCCATTTAGTCACTAATCAAAATCCAGTCCTGACTATTTGAACAACTGGATAATGCAGAGTCCTAAAAATAAACAGTAAGTTCATCGAACATGTTATGTTGCGTTCTGGATTCAGTAGCTGGACGGATAAGGCGTTGGCGTCTGATGCAATATGTACTGGGTCCAACTTCATTTGAAAGTCAACATTGGAATGCAGATACGTCCAACTGAAGAGGTCATCCAAAACGAAATATCCATTATGGATCTCACTGCTAACTAACCTGCATTCATTTTGACCATAATTTTAGATAAAATTAACCTTCAAATGACGTTTTTTTAAATCAGTTTGTTGTAAATATTCAAACAAGTTTGTACACCTTTCGAACTAGTGAAGATGCAAATAAATATGTATCGTCTTCGGATAGATTGCGCCATGAATTGATGTCGGCTGGAAAGCCATTGAAAACAGGGAATTAATAGACAGTTCCAATTTTCTGTTTCTTTGTAATGTTCAACGTAGACTATTCATGGGATCGAACCTAGGAACTTCAGATCATAGTTTAAGTACTGGACGTTTATACTACTAATCAAGTATCTGTTGAGTTATGTTTCCAACCTCAGCAATCAACATTCAAAACTGTCTGATACCGATTGATGTATTGGTACTTCCAAAATACTTTCACATTAATTAATATTCATTAAGACCGCTTTAATTTTATGAGAGTCTCAGATAGTTGTTGCTCTCAGAAATGAGTATTACCGATATTCTTCGATAAACCACTGTGCGAAACTTTTTATTTCTTTGCACATCTTACTTTTTTGTAGTTTAACAGTTGTGATTGACTGAAGTACTGGATTATAAAATATCAGCTCTTTTAGGGGATTTTACCATTTTGAATTCTTTCCACTTAAATTTATAAGTAGTACAATTACCCTAAAGGTTGACATAACAACTTTTTAAAAGATAGTATATCTACCTTAGTAAGGCAGTTTATTTCTCCTTATAAATCTGACCTAATCAAACAATTGAATCGAAAACTTTTTCTGTGTATGGAATTGACTGCTTAAACAGTACACTTAAGTACGTTTTGTTCAATTACACTAACTAGTTAATATTGTGGTATTAGTAATATTTTCTAATTAGCTGGCTATCGGTTGCAATATTACACTTTGATATCGAACAAGTTATAAAACAGTTTTTTAGCAGACTAATTATTATCACCAGTGAGCATTATGATATCCACAAATAAATTTAACGTGATCATGTTTTTATCATGAAAATGTTGAGTATTATTCTACATTATTATATATCGTGGGTGCACATTGCTGAGGAGTCCCACACTAGGACGAAATGACCGTCCAGTGCTTCTAGGTTTTCCATGGTGGTCTAGTTTCAATTGACTCATGAACTCAACTATTAAATTACTATAATATTCACAAAAACCCTTCTCATAATATTGTAGAATATACAATTAATTAGTATAATTATTAATTAATGTACAAAGTTAAATATTCTGATTATATATATACTAATCAAATACATATTACTGGCTCAGAAGTTAGATGATTTTTAACATGCAGTTAGTAGATAGGCGTATGATACTTATGGAGTTTATTTAATGGAGACTGTGTATCAGTTTCAAGTAAATTAACGAATTAATATTAATTGAAGAATGACTGAAAACTAGGAAGCACTGAATAGTTGTTGCTTTTCCAAAGTTTTGAAATTTTCCACCGAAGGCTTCATATTAGCTTGAACCTAAAAATGTAAATCCTTGCTACGAGCTTAACACAGTTGAAGTCTTTTCAAATGAACCATATGACTAGAAGATTTAAATGTGACAATTGTTGCGTATTGAAACCTGTAAAAATTTACATAGTTTACATGAACAGGTGAGCAGAAGATTAGAAGTAGAAAGAATATATTTTGCAAAAATATCATTAGTATACTACTAAACACTCCATTAGATTTGTTAAGACGAAACTGGCAGACATAATGGTTGATCAGTAATAAACTTTCGTTATATTTGGTTGAAATAACAAAATAATTGATTAAAATTGAATATTTTCTAAATGGAATAATGGTATTCATCATAGTTCAATATGAAAAGGTTATAACCTTAAGTAAAGCGTTATAGTTTAGGGTGAAAAATGTATTACTTTCATATGATCATAATTACAATGGTCAAATGAATGATAATCTGACCTAGTTTCCTTTGACTTATCTAGATAGATTATTCTACTTCTAATTATGATCTTACCACATGATCAAAAGTTTCTGGGACCCCAATACTGATCAATACTATGTAATGTGGTATAAGAATAAATTTTACAATAATTGATTCAGTTAGAACTATCATTGACAAGTAATGACAAGATATCATATCATTCAGTTTATTACAAAAATAAATAACGTTAAAATGAGGTCTGAATATGTCTTCATGTTTTTGAAATTATTATTAGTGACATAATTGTTCATATTAACATACAAGATTGTTTATATTTTACCATTCTATCGGTTGAAAATAAAACAAGTGACCTTGTATATTGATTGTCCTGTACAGAATGTGTTTAATATTTTTGTACATTATGAATGTCAGTATTTAATTCGATCACGATGATAATACGGTTAGCAACACATTCACGTTTGATAATAATTTAAAAATGGTATACTATTAGTTTGTTTAATTACAGTAATATTTATTTGTATTAACAATTGGATAGATTAATATTTTAAAATGTCTAAATAGAACATTAAATAAAATCCTGAGTTACGTACGATACTTTCATTGTACGAAATAGTGAATACTTTTTAAAATTTTATTGAACTATAAATAATAAACCGCAAAACTATGTACACCTCGAATTTTTAATTTTTATTTCCGATTGTCGTAATGGATAAAAGTGACTAGTTTGTTATTAACTACCAAGACGGTTATGTATACTCTACTTCACCTGTATCCCTTCTAGGGTTACCGTTTGGTTTCAAGCTCACACATAGGAGGGGGTTGGGCATGGGATCAGCAAACCCATCCTGTAGAAAACAAACTTGCATAATGCGCTAACCAGAATAAACAAATCAAACCATTTAAACTCTATCCTCCGAGTTAAAGAATCTTCTTTCAGAAAAATAATCATGCCTCATGGTGAAAGACAAGATTCTTCGGAAGTCACGAGATCGATGCCCCTTCTAATAAACATACCAATAATTAATATAGGTACATGGAATGCTCGGATAATGTGGGAGACCGTGAGGACCAATCAAGTAGCAACGGAAATGAGAAGATATAACTTGGCGGTTCTCGAGATCATTGAAAGCCATTGAATCCAAGCTGGACAGAAAAGATTAGCTTCTCGAATAATGATACTGTACTCTGGTCACGAAGAAGAAAGTGCTTCGTACATGCAAGGAGTTGCTCTGGTCTTGTCCAAAGTAGCACGAAAAGCACTAATTGGATGGGAATCTCATGGATCCAGGATCATCAAAGCTTCCTTCGAAACAAAGCAGGACGGAATCCCAATGAATGTTATCCAGTGCTATGAACCCTTCAATGGTAGCAGTAAAGACTATAAAGATAGGCTGAAGTCGATCGTGGAGGAGTGTTCAGGGAAATATCTGACCAACTGGAAAGAGATCAAACCAGAAGGTGCCTGGCCCCGACATGCACCGTCATAAAGATGGGGACCCCTTTGATAATATGGGCAAAATTCAAGAAAGGAAGAACAAGAAGATAACAATTAACAATATTCGAACAAAAGCTGAGAAAGTCAAGGCACAGACCGAATACACAGGAGGGAACAAGCGACAGAGGGGGGACATTAGAGCCGATAAGCGGAAATACGTAGAATACCCAGCAATGACAGCTGAAAAAGCTGCGAGAAAAGAAAATATGAGACATCTATACGACAAAGCAAAGTCACTATGAAGTAAATACTGGGAATTAGAAGAACTAGTCAAAGACAAAGAAGGCAAGCCAATGAGTGAAATTCAAGAACTGTGGAGCAGATGGGTAGAGCACTTTGAAGTACTCCTGAATAAACCATCCCAAATGAACCCATTCGACATCGAAGCAACACCTACAGACCTTCCTATAGATTTCACTCCACCAACGACCGAAAAAATCAGGATGACCATCAGACAAATCAAGAGTGGGAAAGCAGTAGGACCTGGAAACATGCCAGCTGAAGCACTGAAGTCAGACTTGAAAGTAACTGCAAACATACCTCACGTTTAGGGGGAACAAGTACCGACAGACGGAAAGGAAGGATACCTCGTCACGATGCGAAAGAAAGGAGATCTGAACAAATGTGAGAACTACAGAGACATCAAACTATTATCAGTGCCAGGAAACGTTTTCAACAGAGTGTTGATGAACAAGATGAAAGACTCAGTAGACGCCCAACTTTAAGATTAACAGGCTAGATTCCGTAGGGATCGGTTGTGCACAGACCGAATCACGACACTACGGATCAGAGTTAAACAATCAATTGAATGGAATTCCTCAGTATAACTCAACTACCCTGAATGCGGTAAAGCATTTGACAGTGTGAGCAGAAGAACCTTACGGAACCCTCTTCAACACTGTGATATACCTGAGAAAATCGTCAACATCATACGAAATTCATACGATGGATTACACTTCAAAGTCATACATGAAGTCCAACTCACAGATGCATTTCAAGAGAAAACCAGTGCCATATTACGCTGCTTACTCTATCCCTTTCTCCTTCTTCTGGTGGTTGACTAGACTGTGAAAACTTCCATGTCTGAGGGGAAGCACAGTTTGTAGTGAACGAATTTGATGCAACTAGACTATTTGGACTTCTCAGATGATCTAGCTCTTCTACCCCATACACACGAACAAATGAAGGTCAAGACAACCAGTGTAGCAGCATCCTCTGTGGCAGTAGGCCTCCACATACACAAGGGAACAAGCAACATCTTCAAATACAGCATGGAGAACATCAACACAATCACACTTGATGGAGAAGCTCTGGAAGAGGTGGAAACTTTCACATATCTGGTCAACATCATCGATGAACGGGGAGGATCTGATGCATATTTGAAGGCTAAGATTGGCAAAGCAACAGAAGCATTCCCATAAATGAGAAACATATGGGACTCAGAAAAATAATCAACCAATATTAAAGTCACAATCTTCAATGCGAACATCAAGACAGATCCACTGTACGGGGCTGAAACTTGGAAAACTACCACAACCATCATCAAAAATGTACAAGTATTTATAAAAATTGTCTACGTGAAGCTTTTCTTCTCCGTTGGCCGGACATTATCGGTAAGAACTTACTATGCTTAGAACCGCACATATTTTGCACATTGAAAAGCAGATGAGCCACAAATTCACGAACATTTTTCCTTTCTCATTAGTTTAATATTGTATGATGTGGTTGTTTTTCAAAAGAAATAAACTGATTATTTAAAGGCATGTAGTTAGTGTAGATTTTCAAGAACAACATTTACTAACTGTCATTGACTGACTTAATATTAAATTTTGGTTTATTGTTTGCTTGTTAAACGAATTTCACTCGCGTTTTTTCCCTGATATTGTTGTCTACTGAATAATCAGTCTGATGTGATCAATAAAGTATAAAACGATGCGTCTAAGCATATTGTGTCTAATGTTATGCGTTTAGCTACTGGTTAACATAGTTTTCATCCTAAAATCACTTTGTTGATATATTAATAAATATGTATCGAAAGCTGTGAAGAAAGTGATTTATCAATACATAATAGATTTAATTATCGTTCCACATTCCTTGATACATTACCATCCACATGACTCAATCATAAGAAAGAGTCATGCAAGTCTTAGTGGTGGTATCTATAGTGCTCAGTTATACTATCTGAAATCTTGAAGAAGTATGAACTTTGTTCAGTATAGCAGCATATTTAATTGATAGCTTTCATCAGTCGGGAAATTCGGGTGAAACGCATCCTTTCAAATGACTCAAAATATCATACATCATAAACAAATAACTATTTTGGATAGGTAAAGATGTTTGTATCGTAAAGTTTCATCTATAATGAACCATCTACTGCAGTCAATTACTCTCTATTTAAGAATTTATCTCTACATCAGTGTTACTGTTCCTAACTGTTGCGATGAACTATAGAATCCTCAGTAACTGAGGTGATGAACATTTTCAAGATTAAGAGTAGTAATTTTAGTTCATGAGTTTTCTAGCGATTGCAATATACCATTGAAAACGAATTTCTAACGAATCACAAAACGAATTTATTCAACATAGATCTGTGCTAGGTAGACGTGTGTAATCTCATAATCATTGTGAAGTTGTAAAATAGAGTACCCTTGGGTTCCTCAATACTTACACCCCACATTTCATTAGACCTAGAGCTTTAAGTGGCTAAGACTAGCACGATAACATTCATTCATTTAACTGTGATATTAAATTTGTTATCAACTATATTAGACATAAAAATACTCAGTGATTACCTCTTTTTACCACTAAAGTGGTAGTTTGATGGTTGAAGCACCTGAAGTTTAATCACTAAGTCTTACATCTAGACATTGCTCCACCTACGTTGGTGTGGTTAGCCAGGTAGTATCAACAGTACTTACACAACTAAAGTATGGTTCAAAGCCGAGTACAAGAACCTTTACTCTGTAAGTGCATTAAACTAATTAATTCATCTTATTCTATGACTCATTACCATTATAATAATGGCCAAAAATAACTTTAGCTAATCGTGAATACTCACCAATTAATTAATGATCATTCTATCGGATGACTTAAAAATAGGCTTATATACTGTATCAACACATAATAAAAAATGTCTGTGATGAGTCGATGGGGTTCATTAGAATAACGTGATATATACGCAGAATATCATTAGAAAAATCTTGTTAATTCTTTTTTTTTCAATAGACTAGACACTACTAACTATCGTTTTATCTATTTAGATAATCAATATATGTTGTTTAGAGATAATTTACAAGATTTTTTATAAACTGAAGTATTAAAATTTTTTCACTATTTCAACGCTCATATGCTACTGAAGCGTCAACAGTATCCTTGATAATGATGTAGAGATATAAAATGTGACTCCTCAAATTATAAGGTATTATAAAGCCATAATTAACTTAGTATCGACTGCTTAGAACTGATATTGTTTGATGATTTTATTAAGAAGCTATTATAAGTAAGCTTATGAACGCATATGGACTAGGAATAATACAATAATAAGGGCAATTTATTTATGAAACACAATTTTACCTTATCTTCATGATACTAACCGGCTATTCAAAGTGAATTTAGTGGAGGGGAGTAAGAATTTTCAACCTAGCGACTGAAAGCCAACTACTTTT